ATGAAATCTCATGGCTCTTGCATGACGTTTTAGTCTGCTTCATATATCAGCTTCGTTCTCCCAGGTCCCAACACCTTTAGAGCAGTGAAAGCTAATAATGAATATTGTTTGTTGCATGGATGTTTCTCAATCAATCAATCAATCAATCAATCAATCAATCAATCAGTAAAGCACTGATTGCGGTGGTAGCTTCCAAGTGATGAGTAGAGTTCCAAAAGGACTGAATGTCTTCTCAATATATTTGCAATATATTTGTGATATTATTTATAATAATCAGTACATGAAATCAGTCTCAGTGAAGCTTAACTGAATTTTTAAAAACGTATGAATACACAATGGACACCATTCAGGTGGGGGAGAGATACAGGCAAGTCCTTGTGAGGAAATGTGTGAAGCCAGTAGGCTTTATCCTGAGCTTAAAAGTCTGTCAAGAAACACAAATACCACAGGATGGCAGACATGTATAATCTCACAGAAGCCAAACTTATACGTCAGTGTCAGGCATAACTGAAAGGCACCAATAGCAACAGAGTATCTGTGACATTCATACCAACCAGTCAAAAGCTTCCTCCTCTCTCAGCCACAAATCCTAGGAGACGGTATTACTCTATTTTAGTCATCTGGAGACCAGGGATCAGACAACTAGAGAACACTCTCTATTTAAGCCCAAAGAAATCATCCAAACTCACCCAGCCAAGACTGTAATGACTGCCTTGCCTTGTCTTCACAGAAAAGTATCAACAAGGTTCTAGCTCCCTCTGCTGGGCGGGCTTCAAATCTTCTTCCTCCTGATCTTTGGAGCTCCACAGATAAACTCAGTGTGGCCTGCCTTCTGTCTCTGAGACCCATGAAAATGCCAAACATGCTTTCCAATCTCTACCTGTCCTCATGTCAACATAGCCAATTGATTGCTATATAAAAAAAAAAAGAGAAGAGTGTGAATTTCATCTCTAGAAACATCCAGAAAACTCATGCTCAAATAAACACTAGGTACCATCACTCCATCAACTTGACTAATAGTTAAATGCCAAAATGCCTTGAATGACATCCTGTAGCCACATGCCCTGCGGGGCAGACTGCACACACAGAGCATTAAAAGGACAGTGTGTCATCGACTTGACATCCATAGCTCAATAAATCCAGTTAATTTTAGGCTATCAAGCAAAAGCTGTTCAAAGAGACTTCTTTCAGTTAAACCACTTCCATGAAACAGAGCGTAGATTTTCATCATTAATCATATATACGCAAACATATGTGTGAAGGACAGTGTGCACCTGAACAGCAAAGCCACAGGAAGCCTGTGCAACTCCCACCGAGATGTCACATCGTAAGACAGTGATGAGACAGTCTAGGTGAAGATCAGAGACTAGAAAGAACATACTTGGCATTTAGGAATTACTGCAAAATCAGAAAAATTAAATAAATGTGGAGGAAATCTTTGAGAAAATGGAAAAAAGCCTACAAAGTAAAAGAAATGAGGAAAATGATAAAAATATATTTCAACACAGTTAGAAATTTCTTTAAGAGATGTAGAGAAAGATCAGAAAGAAATAATTTTATGTCATCAAAGAACTCTGTCAGCTACTTCTCCATAGATAAAGTAATATGTGACTTCTAAATTCAAAAGCTGTCAACTGCTGTGGGAAAGACCAGCATCTAGACAAATCTTCACAAAATAATGGGTACAGACTGGCGATGTAGCTCCGTTTGTGGAATATTTATGTAACACGCACATGGCCCTGGGTTAGAGACACAGAACCGCAGAACCTGTCTGTCTGTACGTACATAAACGCTTACTGTATCCTCAGGAGGTGGAGGCAGAAGCATCACAAATGAAGGCCATTCTCAGTACCCTGGAGAACTTGGGGACTGCCTAGATTACATACAAGCTTGTCTGAAAGGAGAGCCCAAAACAGCAGACCAAAGGGGAAGATCCTATATTTTCTGGAGAGAAATGAAGCTTCAGAGGAGCCACAGGTCTATGTCTACAACTGACTTGTCTTCTGTGGGGATCCTCAAGAAACTGACGATCGATGGGGCTCTGCAGGAGAATAAACATGGCATGGGGATGGAGGGGGGAGCACAGGAGCCTAGAAATGCAAGAGTGTAGCAATTTACAACACAAAACAACTAGCAGTTTCTACCCATTGGTGTCCTTCCATATTTGCTAATACTTCTCATTGGAAATTAATGACATTTCTAATCAGCAAGGCTTCAAAGATAGAGTCATCTGTAGTCACAGATGGAGATAAATGATGATGTCAACAGCTCACAGAGGAGCTGGTGAGGAGACTTCCAACAAAGGCACAGTAAAAAATACTTTCAATAGTGCATATGGAATATTCCCTGAGGCAACCTCTGATGATGCCTAGAGAGAGTGGAGAATCCAGACACGGTACCCCCATCAGAGGTGGGAGAGCTAGCTGTCCTATCATAGTGACAAAGGCAGGCTGCAGAGCAGATGTGCAGAGACTACACATTTGTACCTCTGCATTAGGGAGAAAGTTAATTCTATACAAGAGTTAATGTGAGAACTACAGTGAAAACAGAAATTTATAGCAAATTCATGGCTCAATCATCTGGAAATATGTAAACACCCAGAAGAGTAGATAATGCTAATATTTAAGTCAAGTCATAGATCTTTCTTTAATAATTTATTTAATTTTTATTTTATGTGCATTAGTGTGAAGGTATCAGATCCCTTGGAATAGGCAATACAGACTGTTGTGAGCTGCCATTTGGGTGCTGGGAAATGAACCCGGACCTTTTGGAAGAGCAGACAGAGCTCTTAACCACTGAGCCATCTCTCTGGCCCCATAGGAATTAAGAACAGTAACATACCAGGGTCCAGCCCCAGGGAGACAAAGCCTGAAGAAGGGTGGATGCAAGAGCAGTGAGGGTCAGATTGAGTCAGGCACAGGGATGGGGAGAGTCTTACAGCCTGCCTGACAGGCAGCCATAGTTCTTCTCTATTTATACAGGCATAGATGTTGTTCCAAAACATAGATTGTACCATTTTGGTCCCATACACATATTTATTTATTTATATGTATGTATGCAATGTTCTGCCTGCACGTTCTGGTGCCAGAAGCAGACACCAGATCTCACTCTAGATGGTTGGGAGCCACCGCGTAGTTGCTGGAAGTTGAACTCAGGACCTCTGGAAGACCAGACAATGCTCCCTACTTGGGAGGCCTGAATCAGCAACCCTCTGGGAAACAAGAACACACATCAAAGAGATACATGGCTAGCCACAGGTAGCTCCTAGCCCCCCAGGACCCATTTTAGCCCTGGGCATACATATACCCTGTGTGGAAGGAACTCCCCCTGCCCTGAGGAAGGCTCCTCACACTGGGAAGCCCAGTTTTTCTCCAGGAAGAGGCCAGTAGCAATCCAATCAGACCATATCAGCCAGGGGCTGGGACACACCAAGAGTGTGAGGCATCTTTGAAACCACAAGGGATCTCCCAACCCAGCAACCTCCTCCGCCTGAGATTTCCCAGGTCATCATTTACCCGGAGGGGGGGGGGGTCGAGGATACCAGCATTTTTGGGGCTAATGCCATCTGGACCCTTCAGGAGGAAGCTAAACCCATGTCAGGGTAAGCTTTTTGATGACGCACTTGCTTTGGAATCATCCCTGCTCCTTGTAAGTAACCCCTCGCCCATAGTCCTATTAGTAACCACAGTGAAAACTCGCTGTCCCCTGAGTCAGGTCTAGGGACAAAGTGTCAATATTCAGGTGGAAACTCTCCCCTCCTGCCATAACATACTAGTGAAAGGAGACACATTACCCAAGGGGAAAAGGTACTCAGCATGAAGAAAAAGAAGGTAGAGAGAAGGAAGGCCGCAGGTGGTTGCCACACAGCCCCATAGACTACCCCACCTGGCATTCCCAGTTGTGTCTTCCATTTGACCCTTCTGTGCGCTGTCTTCAAAACATGCTGAGCCTGGGGCAAGCTGGCCTCCCCAGTGAACACAGCACGCAAGGCAGATCAGAGAGGCAGCCCGTGTCCTGATTCGCCGTCTTGCCCTCCTTGAAACTATTTTTAACGTATGAAATACGGGATATGCAGCTATTTCTCAAACCATAGGAACGGGGGCGGGTGGAGGGACGTTTGAAGGCTAGAAATGTTGAGAACTGTATTGGAATGTTCCCATCCCTCACCAATCATGAGCACTGTTTGCTCCCAGTCCTTATTTTGCTAGGTCTTGTTGGGCAGAATGGCTATAGGCCTGATCTCTGCTTAATAATTTCCTACACGCCCCTCTTTTCTGGATGGTTTTTCCGTTGGGCATCAGGGATTCAGAACAATCTTTGTCCCCACATCCACGGGCACGATCCTGCGTTACCGCTGCCTTGTAACAAATGCCAGGCCGATGTTTTCCCATCTCCCAGAAAGACTCTCCCTGGGCAGGTTTACTTCCGGCTTCGGAGGATCTGGACTAACCCCTGGGGGACCCCTTGAAGAAGAGTCTGTAAGCAGAGCAGAAGTTGTTGAAGTTGCAGATGCCACCTGGTGAGCCCTCCCTTTCCCTTTTCTGGCCATATAACTGAAAGATTTCAAAAGACCCAATCAACTAGTCAAATTCCACCCCTCCCATGACACGCACACGGGCGCGCGCGCACACACCAACCTGACTCATGATTCACTGGACTTTGCTTTGAGCAAACCCCTCAGACTGTGACCATTGCCATTACCCAGCGACTAACCCACGGCGCCTCACAACTAACCCGCTGTGCCTTCCAGCCGTTAGGATGCGGGGTCAGCATGAAAATCTGGCCCAGACGAAGGGACTGCCCCTTAAGAACCTGGGCGTTCCACCACCCCTCAACCCCCGACCCCCGTCCCTGTCCCCGCCCTCACCCCCACCCAACCAGCAACTCGGCGCCAGGCCCCTAAGAAAAGCCTCTCGCCTTGGGGCTCCCGGCCGGAAGCCTCCCCTGGACCTGGCGGCGGGCAGGGGAAGGGGCGGGCGCAGGCGGCAGCGGCACAGAAGATGCACGCGGGGCTCCTGGGGCTCTCTGCCCTGCTGCAGGCGGCCGAGCAAAGCGCGCGTGAGTGCGGCGCAGCCCGCGAGTGCTCACCCCTCCAACACCCCACTCCACCCCAGTGTGCGGGGCACTTCTGCCACCGCTGCCCCGGGCAGGACGCAAAGACTGCACCCGCGCACGCACAGTAGAACCCCGGTCCTGGCCTGCAGAGCACTCCTCTGCGATCCCCATCACCGGCGCATGCTTCCCTCCACCCACGCAGACACCCCTCCATGCATGGTACAGATACAACCCCACTCCCCAAACCCTGGGTCCTGAATGCCTGCCCGCTCCAGCCCGCACTCTGCAAAGAGCTGCTTGAGGAGGCTGTGTGGGGCGCCAGCGCTTGGTGAGGCGCCCTGGCTCCCTGGACGTGGGGCTCCTGGTTGGGGTAGCCGCATGCAAGCCGAGGGCTGGGAGAGGTAGGGGGCGGGCTCCCAGAGGGCACTGATTCCCCTTTGGTGTTGGGGACACAGCAGAACGCTGGCTGCTCGGGGCACAGATCCCATGGGCAGCGAAGGTGAAGCAAGATGGCTATACTTTTCGCGCCTTTCGCGTTTGAACTTGTAACCCTTTCGGTGCTGGCATAGGGTGCTTCCGCCCACTTCCGCTGCTCTCCTACAAGGTCTTGTCCGTGGGGAGACACCACCATCCTTACTCTCCAAGGTTCCACGTTCCCCCTTAGACCCGGTATCCCTGAAATTTACCTCTAATTTGCAACGTAGTGTAGCCCCTCCAGATTCCCACCCCCGAGGCCCGCTCAGAATTCCAAAGGGCTCCAGGCTGGACCCTGGAGCGGCCAGGATGCACACTGCTACCCAGTGTGCCCTAGGCCCCTAGCTTTCTAACAGGGCAGGTTTGAATGTTTAGCGGGAAGCACTGGACAGAACCTGCGACCGAGGAAAGAATAGCCGCCATCCCGCTGCCCATAGCTGCCAGGTCCCCAGCTGTGACTCAGTGCCGTGGGGTTTGTGCCTACAGATCCACATGTCTTGGTAATAGTGGCAATAGTAGTGTGATCGCATCGCCGAGTGCCCTCCAGTCAGTCATGAGTAGTACCAACACAGCTTCTTGCTGAAATCCAAGGTTATATAGCCAGAGCCTGGCCCCGATGACACAGCTGTAATCCAAGCCACCGGAGAGGGTGGGGTATGTGAACATGAGTTACAGATCCAACTAGGCTACCGAAAGAAGTTAAAGCTGGCCTGAGCAACTCGGCAGACTATTACCTCAAAATAAAAAGGGAAAAAATGGACTGAGGGATGGCTCAGGGGTAGAGGCCTTACCTAGTACAGGAATAGTCCCCCCTCCCCCCGAATTCAATCCCTAGAGCCAGGTAGGTGCGATGAAAGGACAAAGCCAGTGTCACACAGCATCGCTCATGCAGCCCTGGTTGTGGTGAGGATGAGATCACCTCATGTTGTTGGACCCCCACATCACTGGGCCTCCCCTAGGGGAAGGTTCACCTGTTTGAGCATGTACTAGGCATCAGGTACTTGGCACGTGTCCTGTATAACCCCACAGACAGCCCCCACACACATACTACCACTTTATGCCTGTTTTATTGCGAGCAGGCCCTCCTGGTTCCTTGCTAATGGTAAGGATGCTGTGTTGGTTTGTTTGTTTGTTTGTTTGTTTGTTTGTTTGTTGTTAAATGATCTAGTGGACAAGGAGCCAGGACAGGTTTAGCAAAGCTCACAGTTCCCAGGGCTGAGAGGTAGGGCATGCCATGTGAGACCATATGGGGATACTCAGTTGATCAGGAGCCTGAACCTTCTGCTGTGGCTTCCTCAGACAAGACAGGCTGACCGGGCTGGACAGATTCTTGGTTTCTGCGGGTAGCTGCTGTGAGCTTTGGTCTATAAGGAGGGCTCGCGTCACTTGGCCCCTAACCCTGGACAGGCTAAGGCAGAGGAGTGCCATCACCTAGGGTGCATGGATCTTGGACGGAAGCTCTTGGATGGCTAGCATGCATGTCCCTGGCAAGTTCTTGGAAGAACACTGTAATGTACAGAAAACAAGCGTTAACAAAACAGTTGCCTGACTCCGCCCCTTCAACGACCTTCCTCTTGTCTCTTACCACAGGCCTCTGCACCATTGTTTACCACTTTGCCACAGGTTGTCTCCTCTGGGGTTGGCTAGCCCTTTCTGTCCTCGTGCCGGGCTTCTTGGTCCAGGCCCTGAGCTATCTGTGGTTCCGCGAAGACGGGCATCAGGGCCAATGGTGGCTGGCAGTGCTACATCTTCTGCAGCTTGGCGTCTGGAAGCGGTAAGAGCAACCCGCCCCCCTCCCATCTGATTCTGTGGGGGAATTGCCCTGTCGGTATACACTCTTGACCTTAAAGCCATGAACGTTCGGGGCCGTGCCCCTGTGCGGCATCAACATCTCTAACATCGGGGGACTCCTTCTCACTGCACCAGTGACTTCTGGAAAATGTTTTTCCTTGTCTTTAGTTGGATTCTACATCAGTGCTGTCTCCACCCCTTAATCAACCTCTGGAGCCACATATATCCATTTGCTTAAACTGTTCCATCTGATGCTTTAGTCTATGAAGTTGGCATAGACTTAATTAACCACAAGCCCACGTGATGGCATCTGCTTTGCTCTTCTGTGGCAGGAAGCAGTGGCCTGGGAGCCAGGGCCCGGGTGTTTGTTTGTTTGTTTGTTTGTTTTGTATAAAAGGGTTGCCAGGTGTGGGTCTGCGGCAGGTGGCTTCCCCGGGCCCACAGGTCTCTCCAGAAGTGAAGTGTTGTTTCCACCTGGAGATGGGAAGCCGTTTTTTTGCAAACACAGCACTGTTCCGCTCCCAGCTGTCCCATAACTCCATGGAGTTGAGGGGATTCTTATGAGGAGGGAAGAAACAAGGTGAACCCTGAGGCTCACGTGCTTATTAAATCACAGACGACCAAGGTTCGAAGGGCATCCAAGGGGCCACTGGCAGGAGCTTCTCTCTGTCCTCGGAGCTTGTCTTCTGTCTCTACCCAGGTTGGACTTGGGTCAGAGTAGAAGGTGCTTCTGGAGAGACATGGAGTGACAGCCTGTTCTTCATGTTCTCCTCCGGCAGGCATCAAGAACACATGGGCCTTCCTGCCTGAGCGCCACTCCTGAAACAGGCTGTCACTACCAGGGGGAGGAAGGATATCTCATAGAACTTAGGGTTACAGACTTCTCGGCCTGCTACCTATGCCCTCATCTGCCTTGTAATAAGGCCAGAAGGCTCACCAAGAGCTGGGCAGTTAACTGTACAGGGTGAGACCTCCAAGATAATGGCTCGTCAAATTGGGAAGGAGCTTCAACATAAAGAAGCATTTGATAGCTCAACATCAGAATTCAGAGTAGCCTTTAGAAAGAATCACCCTTCACTGCTCTCAGGTAAATCTGCCTTCTGGGGCTCTGGAGAGACCCAAGCGACCCTTATAAACCTTCAGAGAAGTGATGCCAGAGGCAGAACTCTGGTCCAGATTTATGGTATTTGACAGTGATGGCATGGTTTCTGCTACACACTTAAAAATTAATATGGACAAGTGAAAAGACAAGTGAAAAATCAAAAAGTGGAAGAAACAAAAAGCCACGTAGAGCTAACTTAGAAAAACACTCAGGTGACTAAAAAGTCATGTGTGCAGCGACATGGTCGTTAATCGCACACAGTCGTTAACAGCCGCACAGGCTTTAATCCCAGCCCTCAGGATGGAAAGCCGGGTAGAAGTGAGGCCTGCCAGGCTACACAGTGAGTTCCGAGCCACTCAGGGCTACGTGGTCAGACATACATGCCTCAAAATTAATAATTAATGAATGCAAAAACAAATGAATAAATAAGAGAGCTGAAGGGATGGCTCAGGAGCATAGGCTACTCTTAAGTTCGTAGAACCCATATAAGTAAGTTCCCAGAACCATTTAAGGCGGCCTATTACCGGGAATCTGATGCTCCCTTTTAGCCTCCACAGCCACACACACACATATGCGTGCCCGTACATACATAAATAAAAAAATAAATCTGAATTTTAAGATTAATGTATAAGGGCTGGAGAGATGGCTCAGTGGTTAAGAGTACTGGGTGCTCTTCCAAAGGACCCAGGTTCAATTCCTGGTACCCACATGGCAGCTCACAACTGTCTGTAACTCCAAAAGCTGACACCTTCACACAGACATACATAGACTAAACACCAATGCACATAAAATAAAAATAAATAAATTTTTGAAAAAATAAGAAAATGAATGCATAATTTTAAAAGAAGAGAGAATTGAGGAAAAATAAATATTGATTTCCAGGAAGAGGTAAAGTAATACATCCAGAGATAAAGGCAGAATATGCAGTTTTTAGAGCTGGACCACAGATTCAGCCCTTTCTGGCAGCCAGAAGAAGCATAGTGGATGTTCCTCCAGAGTGTGTCAGAGTTTGCAGGTGAGCCCAGCTACAGCCTACCTCCTCAGGAGAAAGTGCTGAAACTGGAAAGTGATGAATCTCTTCCTTGCTCTCAAACTGGCTCTCACAAAACCAGGGGGGATAAGCCAGCAGATCAGGTTTTATTCTGTTCTATTTTCATTGCAGTTTGTCAAAACCACCTGTAGGGGGAGCCAGAAGGGTTGTGTTTGCACAACCCGGAACTTGATAAAATGAAGCCCATTAGCTGGCTCCGTAATGAAATGCAGACGAATGGACTAACAACAGAAAAATAAATAAAACGCAAACCCCTTGAGGTAAAGCCACTTATAAAAAATGCAAGGCTGAAGACATAAATGGATTCTGGTTTTAAATCCAAACAACAGGAACTATAAGGCTAAGTCTTAACTATAAGGCTCAAGAGAACCTGATGTTAGTTAATACTCATTTTACACAATGGCAGCTACTTTTTCCTACCTGAACATTCTGTTTCCAGTCTAATGGTGTGTGAACTTGCATGTCTTCTACCTTCTTAGAAAGCCTGGCTTCTCTGTTTAGAGACCCAGCCTGAGAGGATGGGAGACTACATAAAGAATCTTCTACTCAGTTTGCCTCTTGTGTTGCGCAGCAGCTTTTCTTCAGTGAGGAGAAAGCCGAGACAGACTTTAAGGGCATGTAAGACCAGCTTGACACAGATAGGGGCAGATTCAACATTTAAACGCAAGTAAAGGCATTGGGCCGCCAAGCCTGACCACCTGGGTTCAATCCTTGGGACCCACGTGGTGGAAAGAGAGAGCCAACTCCCAAAAGTTGTCCTCTGACTGCCATAGGCGTGCCGTTGCGCGCATGCACCCACACAGGTGTACACAGACTAAATAAATGAATAGACAGATAGATTGCTGATGAAGCACAGCTGTATTCGTACCTTGCACTATTGACTGTCTCAGCTCTAACGTTAACATGGGCAAAAGAAACACTCAAGAATTCCCCGAGCTGTGAGCCCAGGATAGACTGTTCTAGCTGTGGTGGAACTGTCTGACATTTGCTGTTAAGCGCTGAAAAACGTACTTCCGGAGACCTGTCAGGGAAGGTAACTGCACCTCCAGGCTTCAGTTCCTGCCATGTGTAGTTTTGAATGCGGCTAGGATTCTTGGGCCGTCAGCAGGGCTGCTCACATGGAGTCTATTGCATGCCCTGTGTACCGCAGACACACATAATCAAGTGCCGGGTCTGAGACTAACTCGGGAACAGCCGAACACAGCAGTACCATGAGGAAGGGCCAGGAGCGAAGGAGCGGATCAGGCCTTAGAGAGACAGCAGCAGGAACAGTCGGCACAAGCAGCCAGAAACCCAAGACAGCGGAAGGAGGTGTAGGCCTGAGGCACTGCTTCCAGAAGGGAGGTCGGGGGGGGGGGGCCCATGAACAAGCTCCTATGAATCCCATCTCATTCCAACCCCCCGGAAGAGCAGGTCCCCAGCAGCTGCCTACCGGTCTCAGCCTGGATTCCTCCATCTCCCTGCCCAACCACAGCCTTGCAAGGCCACACTGCTGTTTCATTATTCCCAGGCCTGGACCCCATTCCAATGCCACGGTCCTCACCCACTGGTCTCTCACGCTCCCTACTCCCAGCTCAGCTTCACGTCCACAGTGTTCTTCGGGCCATCAGCACTGCTGCAGACCTGGAGCTCCAGGAAGTCCTCACTAGCCACCTTGGCCTCCTCCACGTATATGCAAGATAGTCATCTGATGCGTTTTTCTTCCTTGATTTAAGCATTTATTGTGTGTATGTGTGAGCATGCATGTGCGTGTGCCTGTGTGCTTTCCACGACTGGGACTCTTGTCTCTAAAGAACACCTTTCATCTTTCTTATTCCTTCTGTAGTCAAAAGCCCAGTAACACTTCAGGTGAAAGGAGTTGAGGGTGTGGCTCAGTGATGGCACACTGACCCAGACCCAGAAAGCACAAGGCCCGGGGTTTAGTCCCCGGCACCAAAATAGGGGAGGTGAACCAAAAAGTCCTTGGTGGGGACTGGAGTGCAAGCAGGGAGAGGAAAGCACCCCATCCCTTGCAAGGATGGAAAGGAAAATTATGGCATATTCTTTCAGCGCATGTGTTCTCTCAACAGTAAATTTGTGTCAGGAATGACGGCCTCAAAGACCCAAAAGAGCTCAGTTCCCTCAAGGAGTCAGATGAGGAACAGAGAAACTTGTTTGTCCTAAACAGCTTTCCTGGGCCCTCAGCTCCAGAAATGAAGTTGTTTCAAAGACAGCTCCCAACCTTGGGCCTGGCCATGTGAATGATGGCCAAAGGTCAGTCCAGCTTGTTGCCTATGGAATCTTAGCAAGCTGCTTTACTGACCTTCCTAGGTGACCGTCAAGGTGTGCCTGGCTCTAGGCCAGGAGGGGCTATTTCTGAACTTGGGCAGAGCAGGGAGGTTCAGCTCCCAGATGGAAGCACTGGGCACTGTTGTCCACACAGCAGGCAGGGACACTGCCTCCTTGCTGCCCAGCTTAGACCCAGGGAGGCTGTTGGGACATTACCCCCACAGTGACCCCATGGACAGCTGGTGTGGTTGTTTGGGCTGTGAGGAGGGTGGCCACTTCCTAGTCAACTATCACAAGATGAGAGTATGAGAACAAAATGCCTGTTGTGTGTTTGTGGGGACACAGGTACAGGCACTCTCTAGCTTCTTTCTAAGTTTTGATTCTTGTTGACACTAGGAAGGTCACCTAGTCGTCCCTAAGCTGGTGTGACCCTGTGACACCGCTCAGCCCAGTCCTACAGGCCCCTGGTCCCTGCTTTCTAGCTGTTCCTCTTAGAACCCAGCAGCCTCTTATCTGCCTTGTGTCTACACTTGACTTTGAGAACACTCTGCACTTGCTCAAACTTGCTGCCCTTCCCACCAAACACTTTGGTGACTTCTCTTTCTTCAGGGTGACTAGTGGCTAAGGTTCTGCCTCGGGCCCCCAATATCTACACACCACCTCCTCTAGCCACTTCCTAGCCACTTGGCCATGCCAGCTGCCTTTGTCCAGGAGTCCTAATTTACAACCAGAAGACCCTGATCCTTCCAAGGTGAGAGGGAAGACTCCCCTCATTCCCACATTCCTCACTTCTGAAAACAAAGTTTGTGTTCTGCACTGTCAATCAAGCAGCTGCTCCAGGCTTCTTTCTGTTACATGTTAGCATCCAAGGGTTGAAGTCTGGAATCTCAGAGTCACCTATAAGGCCTTCTCCACCCTGCTCTGCATACTCCCAACACTGCTGCCTCACCAAAGCTCCAGGAATTATTGCTCGAGTACTGTATTAGCTTTCTTCCAGATGTCCATGCCTTCTGTGCACACACACACACACACACACACACACACATATATACATACAGGTACATGTATGTGTGTGATACATGTGAGGACATAAGTGCATGTGAATGCACTGTATGTGTGCATGTATATGTGTAAACATGCATCTACATGCCCATGTGTGTTTGCACATGTGTGTGCACATACATTTACACGTTCATACACAATACATATGTATACATTCATCTCACATCTCAAACACAGCATACACACCTCTCCCAGTTTCAGTGTCCCAGAGAAAAAGCCAACTTCCATGAGCTGAAATTGAGAACTCTGGGGTAATTCAGTAGGATCATATCAGCCCCTCGTTTCTCCATCTTGCCCCATCAGCTGGGACCCATCTTCCCCAGCTGCTGGCTCTTAAGAGTGTTCTGCTCTTATGGCACTGAGAGTTCTACACTCCATGAAGGAAGATGAGGACCCCGTCATCTGTGCTCTAAGGAGATGATGACCCACAGTGCCTTGCAGCTGATCTCTATTGAAAGGGTTCATTCCCCTCACTGGAAGATCTGGGGAGAGGACATTGGTCAAGATTCCCTGCAAGCCTGACCAGGCCCAGCCTTGATTCCTTAGCCCTGCAATAACTTCAGCCTACCCACCCCTTGCCCTTCCAACTTTGGGGTCAGTGGCCTGCTGAACACATGAAGTTTGAACTGAAATGCCAGCTCAGGCTAAGAGCTTAGCAACAGCCTAACTGGTGGCCCCCTAAGCCATCAGTAGCGGTAGAAGACACTTGAGAATGCCTCATATCTCCATGTTGGTTGGTGCTGAAGCCTGCACGGGTGGCCGTGTGGTCCATGTCATGATGTCTTTGCTTTCTGTAGGCACTGGGACTCTGTGGCAGCCGCTCTGCGGAAGGAAAGGGAGGTTCCCTGCTGGGGACAGCTGCACCTGCAGGAGGCTGACCTGTCAGCCCTCCGGCTCCTGGAGGCTCTGCTGCAGACAGCGCCCCACCTGCTGCTTCAGGTGTATGTGTTTCTAGCCTCTGACTTCACAGCCATTGTGCCAGGTGGGTGCCTTTCACTGGGACTCAGAGCAGCTGCTTCCGACATAGCAGGAACGCGTGCCTGACCTTGTAAGGACTTGGTGTCCCTGCTAAGATTTCTGCTGTTTGGGAGACTTAGGGAAACCCCATTGTCAGTAACCCAAATGCTGGTTACAACTGGCTTTTGCTGGGGTCCTGAGTTCACAGGGACCTGGTTAAGCATCTAGAGTCAATCCAGAAGACAAAAGTTGTGCAGAGCGGAGATAACCTTGAACATGGCCTGAGGAAGTCTGCTTCTCAGGGCATCCACATGCCCATCTCTCCTGGGTCTGCTCCTGTTACAGCAGGGCAGACACCTGAAGGCCCCACAGGAACAGTCTTCCGCAGCTGTGTTTCCAGCTCCATTCTAGTCCTGATGCCTCATTACTCCCTTCTCCTGCTGCTGCTGCTCCTCCTCTTCCTTTTCCTCCTGCTTTCCTGCTTCCCCCCCCCCTTTTCCTCTTCTCTTCCCTCTATTTTATTGGTTGGTTGGTTTTGTTTTTTGAGGCAGGGTTTCTCTGTATAACAGAGCCCTGGCTGTCCTAGAACGCAATTTGTAGGCCAAGCTGACCTTGAACTCAGAGAGATCTGCCTGCCTCTGCTTCCTGGGATCAAAGGTGTGTGCCACCATGCCTGGCTCTTTTTCCATCTATTTAAGTATCCAAACTTAAACTATTATGTTTATATGTGGCTGTATATTCCTCCATTCTTTCATTAAACCTCTTTGTGTGGGGGAAAATATTCGTAATACACTGGGTCTAGGGCCCTGTGGGACCCATATACTTTTAATCATAGTTTAGACAAGAAGCCTTGGAAGCTTAGGGGCTGGGACATTTTTAAAGGGCATCCAGAGGAAAAACATCTAAGTCACTGGACAGTGGAGACATTTTCGGCTTCCTCTTGTTTCTGTGAAAATGTGTGTTTGTACACCAAGTTACCCATCACCAAGGGGTTTGGTCAGTAGTACATCATTGGGCTAGTTTTTGATAAGAAGTTGGCTGCTCCCAGAAAAGGATAGGGGGTGCATCTGTGCGAATGCTCTGGAGCCTGTAGAGAGCTCTGTCTGTTCAATCCCCAGGGATCAGCGCCCTGCTCTCCTGGTCTTCACTGTCCTGGGCCCTTGTGTCATACAATCGTTTCCTGGGCATCATGAAGCCAGGCCACCGTACCGTGCTATGGGCTGCCCTCTTGTGCCAGCAGCTCTGGAGGATGGGCGTGCTGGGAGCTCGTGTGCTGAGCCTGGTTCTGTTCTGCAGAGTTTACCGTGTCTGGGTTTTGGTGGTTGGAGGTAAGCAGGGCTTCTGTTCTCTTTCTAAAACCTTAACAGGAACGGTTCAGGATCCCTGCTCCCAGATCCGTGGCTGACTGGGTTTGGCAGAGACTATTCCAGAGACAGTAGAAAAGCGGGTTTCTATGTTCCCAGGAGACCTCAGGAGGCTGGCTGCACAGATATGGCGTCTCCCTTCATCGCAGTAACCTGGAATCCCCCTGGGTACTGACAGTTCCAAGAAAGAGAAAGTAGATCTGTCCAGTCCTCTTAAGCCTAGAATACCCACAGCATGGCTTCTGCCATGCTCTGCCGGTTAAATGGTTCTTGGCAGCCCTGACCCGTGAACACAGAGGGCCAAACCCTCCCTAGTACCCAGGAGTGTGCATCCAAGGCAAGAGGGGAGGTGGTAAATGCCAGATCTTTGGATACACTGCCGCAGAAGACTGTTGCCGATCCCACTTTTTCTAATACAAAATTGTTGCTCATACAGAAGTGGGTGTGGCTCTCACTATGCCGACCTCACAGGAGGGAGACCTGGGTTCCAACTGGTCCTGCACAAAACTGCAGTACATGCGGTGCTGCTGAGGGCCTCCATGAGCACCTCATTTCCTTCGGTTGTTGGACGCTGTCTTTGTTTCACACAGGAAGGCTCCACCGGACCCCAGCCTTCCCACAGCCAGCAGCACAGATACGAATGTGATGACCAAGAGTCTGGCCCTTCAGACTCCTGAATGGGGCCTGTGTGTCCTTGCCAAGGACAGCCGTGTCCTCTGGTCATCAGTGAATACACTCTGCAAGAAGGAACAGTGTACTCTTGTTTTAAGAGAAGGGAGAACATTGAGAAATAGCTGGCCCATGTACCAAGAGCAAACATTTAATACAGTTATTGGCAGAAAAGAACATTTTTTTGGGAGGGGGGGGAAGCTGTGTCCTTACAGAGAAATTAACTGCATTTTATTTGTCATTTTAAAATTCAGCTTGTGCTCCAGAATGAGGCTATTCATCTTAAATATAAGTATAAAATTTGTAGCTCCTGTACAGGGAGTTCTCTTTGGGTCCAGAGGGCTGGGTTTTGTAGCGCAACAATGTAAAAAGCGTAGAGTTTTGTTTGTTGTTGTTGTTGTTGTTGTTGTTTTTATAAATGCCTCTTTAAATGCTTTCTGGGAGCAGAAGGGTGTGCCTATGTAGGGCCTGATGGCTGTCACTGAAGCCGGTATGTTTTCTCAGCTCCAAACTAGGCCAAAGGGCCCCTGTGAGGCTCAGAGAGATAAAGCACACAAAGAATGAGTGGTTTGTCTGGGCCCCTCAGTTCTCTTCTGGGTTGGTAAGTTTCAGTGCCCTCCCCTTTCCTACCTCCTCACTGAAGGCTGAACTTCCACGCTTACTCTCTCCAGGCGCCCACTGGCTGGTGATGACCTTCTGGCTCGTGGCCCAGCAGAGTGACATTGTGGAAAGCACCTGCCACTGGAGGCTGTTCAACCTGCTGGTGGGGGCCGTGTATATCCTCTGCTACATCAATTTCTGGGACAGCCCTTCCCGAAGCAGGATGGCCAGCTTCTACCTGGCAAGTGGCCATGGTGGTTTTCTTTTGTGTGGCCTGTAGCATATTAGGTGGGAAGGTACACCTATACACAGATGTGCCTGTATATCTGTTCAAGAAGGGATGGAGGGGGGCCCTGGGGAATCAGCTGAGTCCATAACAGTACTTACTATGCATGTGTGAAGACCTGATTTCAAATTCCCATCAATCAAATACATTGGACCCTAGCACTGGGGGCAGACACAGACAGATCCTAAGACCTTACTAGCCAGCCTTGCCAGAATGTCAAGCTTCCAGTTTTATGAGAGACCCTGTCTCAGGCAGTAAGGGAGAGTGACAGCTGAAAGCACCAGATCTTCTCTGCCTTCCACATGCCTGCACACTGGCTATATGTGCTATGCAAGCACCACCCACACACACACACAGAGAGAGAGAGAGAGAGAGAGAGAGAGGAATAGCCTAGCCTAAGGAGAAACTGTAAACAGTGATTACACGCTTTGAAAATAGTGTGACATCTAGCTGCTGCTGGCTCCTAGGAGCTTCAGGTGCAGCCAACTCCACAGGTACACTTGGGCACTTTTCCAAAGCGGAGATGCCCAGGCCCTTCCCCAGTGAGGCCTGAGAATTCTAGTCTTGGAGATAGAATCAGGCAGCATTGCCACCTTTGGAGGCTGCACCCGTGGACTCACCTTCTCCTTTTTCGGAGGCAGGACAGCTCTGGAAAGCGAGGCTTCACCCAACTCAGCATGTTCATCTCAGCATGCACACAGCCTACAGTGATCTCAAGGCTAGTGTGCAGCAGAGAAGAATATGTTATCAGAGTCCCAGAGAGCCACAAGGGCCAGGTGAGGACAGAGGCTCTGTAGGTAGGGAAGGCTTTGCAAAGGGGACAGTGGATCTGTCCGCAGAGATGTAAGAGATGCCTATCTGAAGAGCCTTGGAGGCATCGGGGCACCTCAGGCAAAGCTACAGAGGTGGCGCAGGGACCGCAGAGCACTGAGGAGGAGACTCGTGAAAGACAAATACAACATCCGGTCTGTAGTGATAGAACAGAACTGATTTGTGCAGAGGTGATGAGAAATTCTAGAAGGAAAAGGAGAGAGTAGAGGTGAGGGGCGTATGGGGCGTGGGTTGAGTCAGAGAAATGGAACTGTGTAAGAAATAAGGGAGGCAGTCAGTGGCTCTCCCGTCTGCTGTCTTAACTAGAGCTGTCAAGTGTGGGAACAAATAACTAGTGTCTTTATGAAAGGCAGGAGGCAGGGGTCACTCGGGGTAGAGAACAAGGTGTCACAGGCTGAGAGAGTGGCCTCCTCCCATGTTTGTATTGCAAAGAGATGTTGTCTAGTCTTTGAGGAGACCTTTGTGAGGGTGGGGTGGAAGACTTGTATCTGAAAGGACAGAGAGTGAATTCACACCTGCAGGCTTTCTGGAGAGAGGTGTGGGCCTTAGTTATCTGTCATCATGCTTCACCTAGAATGAGCTGCCATATCTCCTGGCAGCTGGCAGCTTTCTCAGGCAGGAAGTTCCATCCCGGGGATATAGCCTTGAGCTGTTAGAGCCTGTGTTGCCATTTGTCCTCTGTCTTGGCATGTGATGGTTAGAAACTCCTGTGCCAACGGTGTGTTGTTCCCACAGTACTTCCTTTCTGTCTGCGATTCTGTGGATATTTTCATGAACCACGCCAGCAAAACCTCCCTCTGTAGAATCATTCCCACCGAGGCCTTGCTCCTGCCTGGAGGGGGCTCCTTGGTTTGCGAACCCGAGCAGGTACCAAAGACAGGAGGGAAGAACTGCAGGCAGTAGGCTATGGAGCTGTGTGCCTCGGGTATGGTGACTCTCTCTTGACCCCACAGGTCATGCTGCTGGAGAACTCCATACTCTTACTGTTGGCCACTGACTTTCTGCAGGGGGCACCATGGACCAGCCTGTGGACTGTGGTGGGTGTCTTGTCTGGATTTCTGATTGGTAAGACCTACTCAGCCTTCTTAGGCACACCTCCTCCCCATTTGTATTTTATCTTATTTTATAGTTTCACACGTATGCGTGTGTGGTATATATGCACGTATGTGTGCGTGTTCATATGTGTGGGGATGCGCGTGTGTTATATGCCCGTGCATGTGGGACTTTCCACCTATTGAGAAGGGGTCTCTCACTAAACCTACAGCCCACTAATTCCTAATGGTCCGGCAAGCCAGCTTGCCCTAGGTGTGTGGTCTAGAAAGCCAGCTTGCCCTGGCCACGCCCCACCCCCCAGCCGCCCCCACCTCCTGCGAGCACTCTCTGCCTCCCAAGTGCTGGGGTGTCAGGCAGACGCCATCCCTGCTCAGCTTATTTGTAGGTTACCGAGCGTTCCCATGTATGAGGCAAGTGCTCAATCCACCGAGCCATCTCCTCAGCTACAACTTGTATTTTTTAAACGATCTAGAAAGAGTGGGGGGGCAGCTTTGGAGCAGTGAGCAGGGGATGGGGTCCAGGCTGTGGGGAAGGAGGCTGTCACCTGTGGCCCGAGACTCTGAGCTTAGCTTCCTCTACCTGGCTGGACTGCTGGGAGACTCGGACGAAGGTAGGAGCAGCTACATCTGTCCAAAATGCTGCCCTTAAAGTGAGTGGTAAGATGCTGATTTCTAAGCCGCATGCGTGCCGGTGACGGCCAATCAAAAGCTGAGGATGGCCGGTATCTCGCCTGGGCGAGAGCTTCTCTGCCACCTACAAATCCGCCTACGTGCCTGTGACCCAGTCATCTTCCTGTGGAAAGGGGCTCCCTTGGGATATGTTGTTGAAGTCTTCAGCGCTAAGAGACTTAACCCTCTATTTGGGGTCTTTTAGTTCACAGCAGGAATGGCCACGTCAGTATGCACAGTAGGTAGGAGTGCTACTGTTCCTTCCTCTCAGAAGGGGTTGGGCTTGCCATGCTGTTCCTGTGCCCACCAGAAGGTGGAGCTGGACACATCTCTGACTCTCCTTTGGCCCCCTGGGAAATCCCCCAGTAGAAGGAGTGTGTCAACACGAAAAACGGAAACAGCAAAACTGTGAGTCAGTCCCTAAACCCAGGCATTATAGAAAGTTATATTTAATACATGTTTAAAATCACATCATATTAACGTTATTGCCAGACACGGAGGCATGGATGTGAGTTCCAAGCCAACACGGCCTATATAGTGAGTCTGAGGAAAGCCGGGGCTAAGAAGAAAAACCCTATTTCAAAAACAAAAATGCAAGGAACAGCCTGTTTAGCATTCGAGAAGCCCTGGGTAAATAAACAATATAAGCCGAACACGAGGGCTCATGCCTACAATCCTAACACTTAGCTGAGGCAGAATTGACACAATTTTGAAGCCAGCCTAGGCTCTATGTCAAGACTTTGTCTCAAGAAAACAAGTAATTTCACAGGTGGGGAAGAGGGAGGGGAGGACTGGGAGGGGAGAAGGGAGGGAAGTACAGGGGGGATACAAAGTGAATAAACTGTAATTAATAAAAATAAAAATAATTAAATAAAAAAGAAAACAAGTAATTTAAAAAAAAAGAAAGAAAAGAAAAGTTATAGAGGCTGGAGAGATGGCTCAGTGGTTAAGAACACTGGCTGCTCTTCCGGAGGACCTGGGTTTGATTCCCAGCACACACGCAATGGCTAATAACTGTCTGTAATGCCAGGTCCAGGGAATTTGATGGTCTTTTTGGAGCTTTGGGCAGACATGGTATACCGATATACATGCAGACAAAACACACATACACACAAAATAATATTTTCTAAAATAATTATAGTTCCAGCTGGGCACAGTGGTGCACCCCTGTAATTCCAGAACTCTGGGAGGCAGAGGCAGCTGGATCTCTGTGAGTTCAAGGCCAACCTGGTCTACAAAGTGAGTCCAGAACAGCCAAGCCTACAGAGAAACCCTGTCTTGAAAAACAAAACAAACAATAAGGACAAACGGATTATACTTCCAAGAACACAGACTTGAGACAGTTCCTTCCCAAATCTAGGCTCCCCGTTTCCTTCTTTTCATGGATAACATGCACTGAGTACTTAGTACATACTGCACACCAGCTTAGAGCTACAGCCAAGAATCCAGCAGGTGGCAGGGTCCCACAGAAAATCAGCATGCTCAGTGCCTCTGACTGGGGCAGATCCCGCTGCCTAACAGGCACCCTGGGTGAATAGGGTACTGTTGGGGAGCGTTTCGGCCTTTTTCTGGCCTGGGTGAGACTTGTTGCAAAAGATGAGTAGTGATGGAATACCGTTTGGGTCGGTGAGAATGCAAGGCACTGTATAGAAACTAGCATGTGACCTGTGTCCGGTGCAGAGACAGAAGTGCATAGGAATGCTGGTCCTTGTCCCCACTTCCAATCCTACCACAAACCAGTGCCCTGCCCTCATCCCCGGATACACTGAGGGCCTGAGGGCAGTGTCCTTTGGGCTCTATCATGCTGCCTTCTCCAGGTGCCTTCCGCCTCCTCCTCACTCTTGGTCCACACCTCCTGCGTGTAAAACGAGCACCCTTAACACAGGCACTTTCTCTAGTGCAACAGGAAACTGGAAACAGCGTGGGTGGCTTACTGGAATGCACTGCTAAAAAGATTACTGCAGCAGTCAACACTTCTGATCGACATAAATGAAGCTGACAACAATGTGATTAAGATGTTTATGCACAAAGGAAGTACTGTTGTTGTTCGTGGAAATGCCCTCACGCGGCTTTTGAGGAGCATAGCTGACCTCTGCTTCGGGCTCTTGTTTTTGAGGCCTCTTTCTTACCTCCTGCCTCCCACGGCTTTGGCATTCTTCCACAGTGTCCCGGTGGTGGGATTCTGAAGGATTCTAGGAGATTTCTACCATGCTCACATGTGTGCACACATTTGCACATGGCTAGAGTGGTTGATGGAAGATGCCCTCCAGGAAGAAGCCTGGGGCTCAGCAGGAGGAAAGCCACATTATACAGCTCTTAGGTTCAAAAACATTTGCAGCTGGTAGATGCTGGGACCTATTTAAAATCTACCCTTAACAATGTCAGTTCTGAAGTCTCAGAGCCTTACTGTAGGTCAACACTATATTGCTTCATTCAGAGTAGCCACTGAGACTGTCACTCGGGGCAGGATATAGGGTGTCCCGGAATATAACATCATGCTCTCCTTTTTGCTGTTATTTTCTTTTGCAGGGTGTGCGTCGCTGGCTATTTATTATAGCCTGCTACATCCTAAGTCCGCAGACATCCAGCAGAGCTTCATGAGGAACTGCTGTGGCCCCACAGAGGATGACAGAGCTGAATCAGAGCCTCCTCCCAGGGCCATGGTTCCCGCTGAGGAGAGGCCGGACAGCTCAAGCTGGTGCCAAGAGGAAAGCTATGAGCTAACAAGCCTAGATAAGGCCTCCAGCCCAGAGCAGAGCCCTGCAGAGGTGGGGCTGGGGGACCAGAGATCCGGGGAATATTCTTTCTTCAGCCACCACCACTGGCTGCTGGTGAAACTTGCTCTCAAGACAGGAAGCATATCTAAGATCAACGCAGCCCTTGGAAGTGACAGCCTTGGCTGCTCCTGTCCCCCCGTACTGGGGTCGAGTCAACACTGTAATCTGCAGAGGAAGCCCCTGTTTTCCCAGCGAGACCTCCCATCCTCTCCCCGTGACCCTTTGACCTTGGAGAAAGGCTCTGAGTATGCAGGTGCGCCAATGGCAGAGATGGAGTCATTGGAAACTTCGAGCTATGTCTCCTTTGCCAGTGAGCTTGAGGACAATGCAACAACCCAGAAGCCTCCAGCTACGCAGGAGGGTAGCCCAAAGGCTGGGACCAAGACTGACCTCGCAGCTCAGGACAAGGACACAGATGGGCCCCTAAAGGGGAAGGAAAGACAGGAGAGTACCACACTGTACTTCAGCGCCACCATGGACAGGACCACATCCTCCTACGAAAAAGGTAGCCCCGTGGCTCTGCGGACATCCCACCCAGGGACATTGGGAGAGAGCGGGCCTGTGCAGCCTGCATTGCCTCAGGCAGTCACTAAGCCCTTTCCTGTTACCATGGCCAACATTAGTCCCATTCTAGGCAGAGTCTCAGGCAGGGACTTCTGCCCCCGTGCAGACCTCCACGGAAGAGTCCCAGACAGTTGGGATTGTGAGGAGTGGAAGGGGCCTGCAAAGGACCTGAGTTTGCAGCGTTCATTGCCAAAGATGAGCCTGAAACCTGCTGAAGAGCCCCAATTCACATCTACCCCCAAGTCCGAGACTCTCCAGAGGGACTATAGCTTCAGGGACAGGATGAAACAGGAGGTGAGTTTTTTCATCTGATCTTAGCCATGGTGGAATAAGACGACAGGCCCATACATCAGACTCGCCGTGTAGCATCATGGGAAGAGGAATCCCGTGCCTGACACCATGGGTCTTTGTACTTCTGATCTCTGCCTACACACCTGAAAAGATGAGGGATCAGGATTGGGTAATGACTGAAATCTCCCCTACACATCACACATGGCACTTAAGGCACAGCAGAGATTCGGGTGCAGTGGAGAGAGCAAAGAGGCTTCCGGTTCCTCTTATGAGCACCGTGAGTCCCAGCACATCTCTTTGTGGCTTCCAGAAAAATGTAAACGTAAAACTCAGAGTCCAGTTTCATCCTGGATTCTTTACAGTTAGCTGTTCCTCACATTAGATGGCCATTAATCACTTTTTTTTTTTTTTTTTAATGCTTTTGGGGCTAGAGTGATGGCCCAGCAGGTAAGGGCACTGCCTGTTCTTCCTGAGGACCCGGGTTCAATTCCGAGGATCTACTTGGCAACTCATGAACCCCTGTAACTCCAGTCCCGGGGGGATGACCCTCTTCTGGCCTCTGTGGACCCTGCATACGCATGGCGCACAGAAACAAGTGCAGGCAAAACACCTGCAAACCTAAATTTTTTTTTTTAATAAAAACACGTTTTCTAGATACATTAGTTTTATTCTCTAATTGTTAGAGAACACAAACTCTTTCTGGATATAAATGAGAGCTGTATGTTCATAGTCAACATAACTGAAAATATGAGCAACACTTTGAGTTCAGATCCCTTTGGCAGGATCTAAGTAATATCGAGGGACAAAGGTTGTTTTTTTTGGTTCCATTTGGTGGTTATAAGACAGAATCACCATCTCTCTATGTAGCCAAGGATGGCATTGAGTTCCTGATCCTTCTGCCTCTACCATCCAGATATCCTTTCTGCAAACCAACCAGTGGGTCTTCATCAACTTTATAACCCACTTACTTCATCTCCACAGTGCTGCCTCTTCCACTCAACACAGGACAAGAGCATCAACAAATGTCACTTTCCCAAATGCTTAATTCCTCTCTATCTCTTCCCCTAGGCCTCCATTGTGGGTAGGATATCCCAGTCACTTTCCAGAGTTCTGCTGCCCACCTGGTTAAGAACTCGTAATCACAAAGCACCAGAGAGAAAAGCACTTGGTAGGGTAAGCGGGGTATCGTCTGCAGACACCTCTAGGTCCAGAAGCAGCCATCGGGCTTGAAAAAGACGGGTGGTGCTGCTTAACTCAGCCTCGAGTAGCTAGGGAGACCGGGTCTACAGCGAGCCTTCAGGCCATCTGCATCCTTGCTGCAAGCACGTGAGCTGGTCGGAGAGTGCGGTGGGGTGTTGTGGTGCGTGAGTGAGTGAGAAGACCATGTTACCAGAGGGAAATCGGTGCATTACAGTTGCTGTGCTGCCATAGGGTCAGGCTCCTGCCCTACCTAGGCTCGCTGCACCCCACCAGATAAGAACAACGTGGGCATCTTCCTGTTTCCCCACAGACCCTCCCCATCTCCCTACAGTATCAACTCCAGCACTGCCTGTGGCTGTTGTCTCAAGCCTGACCTGGGCTGGACTTCCCTCTTGTAGGTGATCTCTTCCTTTAAGCTCTCATTCTCACTCTCACTCACACACACACACACACACACACACACACACACACACACACACCAAAGCTCATTAAGGTGCCATCTCATCTTTGAGCTCTAACTCCAAGGTCCTGCACAGATGGGACAATACAGGAAGGATGAACTAACCACCCCTTATAAACGCTGTTACAAACTGTACTTTCTATGTGGATCCAGTGAACAGGCAGTGTTACCGGAAAAGGAGGAGGAGATAAGAAATAGAGGAAGTAAGGATTTGTTCTTCCTTTGCAAACACCTCGCTTCTCAGACAAGCTGGAAAACTAGATAATTGTCTTCCATGGTTAATTCTGATTAGTGTAAGGGCCACTAAGTAAGACTGATCCCTGTTGATCCAGGCCTTTGGCCTAGCATAACCTTCACAAACGGCCTCCTCAGGTGAAGCCACCAGTTAGCAAGAAGGGTGAGAAAATGTGTGTGCACTTCTTAGAGAACTGTGGTAAGCCCACAATGAATTGAAATGCTTTTTGTGCTGCCCACTGAATGCTGCTCAGCTGCACCACAGAGCTGGAAGGAAGAAACTCTGCTTGTGGCCATGGGACTCAGGAGAAGCAAAGGACACTTTCCCTAGTCCCCTCTGAGCCTGCCTGCCATCGACAGGACACAATGGCTGATCTAGGAAAACAGACATTATTTCCTCATCAGGGCTAAAGTAAAACACCAAGAAACACTCTAGGGGTGAATTTAGGACCTTTAGAGTTAACCCACAGTGGGCAAGGTTTTCTCAATGTGTTGCATTGGGGCGGGGGAAAGCTCTTAGGCAAGCAACAATAAGGATTAGAAAACTTAGTGGTCTTTTGAGTGGTTGGCTGATTTTGATAGGTGAGAGGGTGACAAGGCAGGGCATTCTTAGGTCTGTTCTGAGAAATGCTGCTCTGCAAGTGGACACTGCAAGACTCATTTGTGGAAGGGCAGCTCAAGGAGGAAAAACTGTTGCAAAGAGGCAAACTGCACTGTGCACTTTGTGAGGAATGGCAACCTTGGTGTCTGAGGAACCACAGGGTCTTGCTTTTGCCTAGCTTGAGAAGGTCTCCAAGTGGCCTCGCCTCATGCTCTACAAGGTGGTGTTGCCCAACTGGAAAACACCTTCGAGCTTCAGGCCAGCTCCTAGGGCCCCAGGCTGCTCTCTTCCCTCAGAACATTTCTGGTGACTGAATGGCTGTCAGCTTACCGCTTCCTGGGTCACACCCCAAGCAGCCGCCCTTCTGGAGAACAAGCAGCAGCCATTCTTCCCATGTCTACACCACAGTGAGAGCTTTACCCGTCTTGCCTCCAGTAGGCCAGAGTTGATCTGAGACAGATGACTTCAGTCAAGCCCAGGAAGAGACACAGGGCTGGCCATGGAATCTCTCAGAAGCCCAATGTCATATGGCAGCGGCCCAGCTAGGAAAAGCAGGACCAAAACTGCACCATCACGCCTGTGCCATCATCAGGCTCAGAGGAAGGGGAGGGTGCATCTCTGCTCGACACAAGTAACCTGCCCAGCGACGAGCAGCCCACTATTGCCTGCTCTTCCTTCAATACGATCTGCTGGGAGGGCCAGCTGAGCCTGGAGCTGAGGCCTCTCGGACTCTTCCCTCATCTCCATCCATGACTTATCCTGCCCTACAGCTCTCCACACTCAGACCCAGTGCCTCCTCCACTGTCTCCTGCTCCTTTGAGCCATCTCCGTACCTCTTAGACTAGCATCACAAGATGGTGGAGCTGGACCTGTGGGCTGTGTCTGCCTCACTCCATCCCACCAAGTCTTCAGCAGAGGCAGCCATTACCCAGAAGTCCGAAGTGGTCCACAGGATATTCACATCTGCTGGTGCAACTGGCTGCTCTCCAGTTTTTCAGGTCTACCTTCTCCATGGAAGGGACACGCCATGTGCCTGAAGACTGCAGCCTGTACTGAACAAACCTCTCCACTGCCCTGCCTATCAAAATGCAGGAGAACCTAGCACTCTCAAGACCTGCAGGAAACTCGAGTTGATTTCTGTAAATGTTGCTATAACTAGCTCCCTGGGAAGCCTATGTTGCTCTGCTGTCTGCCCCTCATGACCCCTGGCGGGCACTCAGCAGCCACTTCCTCTATGGGATTCAACTTGGAAGTTCCCTGAACAACTCCAACAAAACTTCCAGGTTTTGGTCCAGTTAACCTGCTCCAGTGCCTTTGTGACAAGCTTCTGCTTGGGGGCCGGGGGGTGGGGGTGGGGGGAGAGTTTCTGAAACCAAGGAGGGACAGGAGCATGGGTTGCTTTTGCCACCCGAAGGAGGAGAGACAGGGCAGCAGATGTGAGTCTCAACAGCTGGCCCTTAATACGATGTGCCGCCAGTAAGGACAACAACCAACCCACAAGGGACCCAATGGGAAAGAACCACAGAAATGGCTACCCTGTTCCCTCTCACCCAAGGACCACATAGCCATAACACTCCTACAAAAATCTGGAGGGCACCAAGATCTCACACCCGTAAAGTCAGCTCCTACCACCTGGTGCAGGGTCTGGGTGGAGAAAGACTGAAAACAGATAGATGGCGGTCATAGCAGTGACCTTGGGACTGATTCCCTCACAACTGAGCCTCAGCCTCTGAACCAAGTGACCCCATGCTGTGAGCCTCTACTTCCCAGAGCTTTCCTCTCTCCTAGTGCACTGACAAATAAAAGCCCGTTTCTATGTCCTGTCGTGCTCTGAAATGCTGGTTACTTTCCATGGCCCCACAGGCGTGGAGGCCCAGCTCACTGTAGGCGCCTCAACTAGGTTGCAGGAAAATCAGAATGGAATTGTTTGTACTGGTTTTGGTGGTTCTGGGGATTGAACCTCAGAACTTGCACTTGCTGGACAAGCATTCTATCACCAGGTTTTATCTCTCCTTCATCCTCTTTGAGGGAGGTTCTCAATAAGTTGTTTGTTCCGGCCTTGAATTTGCCATCCTCCTGCTGCAGCCTCCCAAGGAGCTGGGATCACAGACATAGCAAGAAAGGAATTTTCTATCACCTGCAAAGAGAAGAATGAATGCCCAGAAGGAAGCTGTTTGGGGGAGGCCTATCACAGCACACAGAGAAAGGCCCACCTGAAGATTCGGCCTGACACTTGCTGGCTGTGCTCTTCTACAGATGGGCACATCAGCCTCCGCACACAAAACACAGGCTCTCCATGGCCTCGGTAAGCATGACAAGTTACTAGAGGCTACGGGTCATCTGTGGGCTCTTCTGTAGCCTGGATGTCCATGGCACGTCTATTCACAGTCCAGGACCTTCACCAGCCCAGGCACGTACTAGAGAGACTGGACATAAAGGGATTCTGGCCTTGACCAGGCTCGGCTTCCCTGGGGGTCGAGGGCGGGGAGCCACGTTTCTTTGGAGGAGATGCAGAAAGACCAGTGAAAGCACAGCTTCATCCATGTGTCCTTCCTGCAGCCCATGACCCTACAGTCACCATGACATAATGTCTGTGGGAGGGAAAAGCTGAGGCATAGTCATCAAAGCTCAGAATACAGAAATCCAGAAATAGGCTTTCCATGCCCCCAAAGGAGCTGTTTTTATAAATTATTTGTAAAAGGTTCAATACACATTTTCTCTTGCTGCTGTAGAGAGTTGGCAGAGTGGGGAGGCACCAACTTGTGGGTTTCATGCTGTGAGTCTTTAGCCTTCACTGACTCTGTCTGCCACTTTTAGCTGTGCTCTGCCTGCAAATGCCAAACATCAGTGCTGTGAACAGCACTTGGAAGGGCAA